ACATCAGTTGTTGTTTGTGTTGTCATTGTTGTTTGTGTGGTTGGGTAGTTGGGAGGCTCCTTTCGTACATTCTGCTTCTTTTTTTTTATTACCTTTGTTGTTTTGTCTCTCAGTCTAACTTTGTTCTTGCACTACAGTGTGAGTGGGTGGTTGGTGGGTGCTCTGGTGTGGTTTGCTCCTTTTTTCCTGTCGTTCATCTATCGTCCTTATCTCCCCTCCTTCTTTGTGTTTGTTACTCTTCAGCCCCCCGGGGGCAGTGCCACTGACTGTAGTGTCTTTAGGCCATTCCCAAAGTGGAGACATTTCTCGTTCAAGCGCAGTAGAATTGTAAATGGGCTGATTCATGTCACGCTCATAACTGTGCCTGATCTACAACAGGGAACTGCTGTTTTTTCTTTCCTAATCCTTACTATTGTCATTTTTCCTCTACTTCTTTTGTATGTTTGTCACTCTCTTGTGACCTATTTCCGTGGTGCCTTGATAGTCGAACCAGACATTGTGCTGTTGAAACTAGAGAGGTGAGCAGTGTAAGTCTGATTCCCTGTAAAGACTTCTCTGTTGACACCCACCCCTTGGCGCTCATATGACCTTATGCAGTTGCGAGCGTCGTAAAACCCTCTACTATAATTTTTAAAAATCTAATCTTCGGCACATATGACTTTATTGTGTTGCAAGTGCCGTAAAACACGTACTAAACAAACTTGCACTACATGACCACTGTTGTGTCGACATGCTTTCCCATACACACACTCCCACGCTAGACTTGTTTGTCTACTGGACACATAAAGCCCCCTCACCAGGGCAGTGCTACTGACTGAAGTTGTCTTTAGGCCATTCCCAAAGGGGGGATATTAACATGTTCTTATGCACAGTATGATTGTAAATGGACTGATTTATCAATGTCATGCTCATATATTGTGCAGGAACAACATAGGGGGAACTGCTGCTTTCTTTCCCTCATCCTTACTATCGTCATTTTTCCTCTACTTCTTTTGTATGTTTGCCACTCTCTCATGAACTGCTATTTTCGGGGTGCCTTGATAGTCGAAACAAAGATGGTGTATAGAATCTTTGGTCAAAGCAGACTTTATGCTGTTGATGCTAGAGAGGTGGGCATAGTAAGCCTGACTCCCAGTTTGGACTTCTCTGTTGACATCCACCTCTTGGCGCTCATATGACCTTATGCAGTTGCGAGCGGCGTAAAACTTTACTAAAACAAAACAAAGAAAAAATTTAATTTCAAGTTTTGGAAGGCAAAGGGATCATCCTTTGACGAGACGTTGTCTACCAAGATTTGAACTTGGAACTTGTGAGTTTTAGGTTAGTTACTAGTTGGTGACAAACAGAACTAGAAAGAAAAGTTTGGAAACTCGGACTGAACGAATGGAAATGGGCGTGTGGTTAGAATACGTTGTCTGTATATCTCGTTGATTTATAACTTCATTGTCTTCTGCCCCCGCCCCCTTTTCCACATACTGTGCTGTCCAGGAAAGTTGAACATTGCTTCATTCTATTCTCCTCTTGAAAAGGAGGCCAAATATTTAATTTGTGTGCTTTCATGTCTGCTTTTTACTGTCATTTGACGTACATTTAAGCACTGGTCCATTTAACCCCCACCCACCCCCACACAAGCGTCGTTATGAGTCAAAAGTAACATATTGGGGCCACATAATATTGTCAAATATCTCCTCAACTGTCGAACATAAACTCTCCAACTTTTGCACAGTGACTTGTATCAATTTGTCTTAACTGATCAATATTTTTGTGAACACCTGTTAGCTCCATTCTAAAAAAAATTCTAATAAATTCTAATAAAAAATCACAGTGGGTGATTTCTGCTCATTTTGAAAGGTTTAAAGCTGGGACAAGATCGCTTTCAAAAGCAAGTCCGTCATTTGTTTTTAAATCGTGAGATTATGTTTATTGAACGCATGTTTTGAGAGCAGTGCTAAATTATTTACCCATTGTTCACTATAAATTTAAGTTCTTGAAACTAGTTTTGCCACTAAATGGTGACATTGGTGAGAACTGAAGTTGGCCATAAATTGTGCGTACGTAAAATGTGTGTGAGAAGCTGGAAGTGCTGTATGTGAACAATCCGATTTTCCGCGTGACGAAGATTAATAGTACTTGTATTTAACATAAATTTATGAAGAAACATTTTCTAATCGAGCCACAATTGCTGAGGGAAAATATGATATAATTTAGACAAATTGATACAAACCGCTGTGCAAAGTAGGCCTCTATGGGTGACATTGATTCTCCTGTTAAAAGATAATTGAGGATAAGTTGCGCCACGAATTTTTGACGGCACTATAAATGTTTCTCGCTATAGGCCAAGCAACCCGAAATTGAGATTATACTACAAGCGGATAGTTAGAGAACGTTACTAGTACGCTAGTGGCCGATATTTATAGTTCCAGCCATCTTGTTTGTGTCATAAATAGTGTTTTTCATTCTAACAGGGTATTCATTCTGACAAAAGACAAAAGAAGTTCCAGACCTACTGTCTCTCTGTCTGATCTGAAAAAAAAAAGATGTGGAGAAAAAAAAG